CTTTTTTCTTTTTGCTTATATGGTGCTGAGGAATCGAACCCAGGGCCTCAGGCATGCAAGGCAAGTGCTCTACCACTGAGCCACCTTCCCAGCTCTAAACACAATTCTTTTAGGATTCCTGAAGTGTGGCTGAGTCTGGTTTCACAGCAAGTTAAAGTGTAGTAGAGCACAGTGCACTGCAAGGACTCCCAGAAGAGCTGAACTCTGAAGTGGTAATTTCCACCAGGTTTTCTTTTCTCTTTCTTTCTTTCTTTCTTTTTTGTCAGTTGTTGGGCTTGAACTTTGGGCCTAGGCCCTGTCCCTGGTGCTCTACCACTTGAGGCAGTTTTCTGGTGGTTAATTGGAGATAAAAGTCTCACGATGTTCCTGCCTGGGTTGGCTTTGAACCGTGATCCTCAGATCTCAGCCTCCTGAGTAGCTAGGATTACAGGCATGAGCCACCAGTGCCCGACTCTACCAATTTTATGTAAACTGTTTTTATCTACATATTAATGTTTATAATTTGGCAGTTATTTGACAGGGCAAATAGAAGCAAGATTTTTTTTTGGGGGGGGAAATAATTATTAGATATTAAACTATTTAACAAAATCTTAGAATCAAATATTCATGTAAAAACTCTTTTTTAAAAAATAGGTCCAGAAAATGCAGCCCGGTTCAGCTTTAAAATTATATCAAGATTTAAGTTTCCTTCATGTCAATGAGCTGCTTCTCAGCAGGGGCTGGTTTTGTCTTTTGAGCAATGACAGCCACTTTGTCATTTACACAAGAGAACTGGATGGCATAGACAGAATCTTTATCGTGCTTCTGAATTTTGGAGAATCATCAACACAACTAAATCTACAGGAGATGATTTCAGGTCTTCCTACAAAACTGAAAATAAAATTAAGTACCAATTCTGCCTCCAAAGGCAGTGAAATTGATACGAGGAGTATTCTTCTGGAGAAGGGAGATGGCATCATCTTGGAATACAAGACAAACAATCTCTTTCACTATCGAACAGCTTTCAGGGACAAGTGTTTTGTTTCCAACCATGCATGCTATTCCAGTACCTTAAACATACTGTACAAGCTATGTTAGGACCTCTATGCGAGGGTAATATTGGCCATGGTTTATGTTTTTATTTCCTGTACAGCATACTGCTATATGAATAGTCATTAATTCTTAGATATAGGTATTTCTGGCACCTGCATGTAACTGCTTTCTCAAATGTTTGAAAGAATAAAATGTTTAAAAGAAAATATTGTGTATAGTTGTTACATTTTTTTCCTTAAAATGCAGCCATAGAAATCGGAAGATGACTTACTCACAATGTCTAAAAATATCCATTAGCAAAGAGGAAGGACACTGATTGTAAACTGCTTAAAGAAAATTCTAGTAAAAGACACAAAGTGTTCTGCTTGGAAGGGAGGCCTGTATTCTGTGGCCCCTAGACCTTCACTCCTCTCCCTTCCCCATGTCCTTCTAAGGAGCATGATTTAAAAACTTCTCTCCCAGGTTAAGGGATATCAGAGGGAACAGTACAAGCGAGATGTAGACTATGCAAAACCTGGGTGAAGAAACAACTTTCAAAAGATTATCTAATAACTTAAAAGCTCACTTTTCTAATCCACTTGGAAATAAGAGTATAAAACAAGTTATATACTATTTCCAATTCTCAGTAGAACGCAGCATTTCAGAATTTTAGGTATTTCTTAAGATTCTCGAAAACACTGGTGTTGTCAAGTCCAAGTTCTTCATACAAGAATTTAATTTGGGCTGTAATCTAAAAGAAATACAATTAAAAATTAGATAGAAGGACTTTGTGGTGAAATTCCAGCGTTTTAAGTCTATCTTTGTTTTCCTATCTCCATCTAACCTCAAACCAGCGTTTTAAGTCTATCTTTGTTTTCCTATCTCCATCTAACCTCAAAGTCAATAAGTTATGACAGGAGTCTTTATATTCAGGACAAGAGTAGAAGGCTTTCAACAATTAAGATTCAATTACTTTAACAGAACTCCCTTATCAAGTACAAGAACAAGCACATTCTCTTCCCCCTCCTCCTCACCCCCTTTCCTGGGTCTGTGGCATAGGTCTGACAATTGTGAAGTAGGTCAGACTTAAATCTTGCAACCACCACTGAAAAACTTGCATACACTCATCCCTGTCAACTGAGAGAGGCTTGATAACATACCTTTTTGTGAGAATCCTCAATCACATGATTCCCTCCAGGCTGAATATCTAAAATAATATTGGGTGTCTGAGAACCTGAAAGAGGTAACATGCAAAACAATTAGTCTTCAAAAGACTGAGACAGTTCTCCCTTCTCTGTGGTATTCCAGTTCAAATAGTAGCAAAACCTCCATCACCACCACCAGTGAGAGGGGAGGGGCAAAAGCAGCAGAAGGTTCTAAAGGAGAATCAGGGGATCCAGTTGCTTGTGGAAGCTGGTTAAGAGCAATGACTGAGGAAGGGAGTCAATAGCCCTGTGAAATCGGAGTGTTCTGTACCCTGGGAATGCCAAATACATGGCAAGGGGTGGGAGGGAGAACTACAGAGGGTAAGGGTGGCTCTGACTTGCAGATCAGTCTTGCTTCTGTAACTTCAAAGCAAAATGGAAACATTCTTATCTAATGAAAATGAAACAATTGTCTTAAAACATCTAGTTTGGCCTCTGAAGCATCAAAGCCAAATCCCTAGAATGTATCTTTTAAAGTCAAAGAAGTCTAAGAATAGTATCTCAATAAATATTGTTAAACTCTTGTTACAGTAGTACATCTTCAAGTTAGGCGATACTTGGATTTACTTCGTTCTTTGTGTCCTGCCTACTTTAACACTGTCCTCTGCAGAAGGGGCTAGGCAGCAGATGATCTGGTCTGTAGCATGAGCTGCAGTACTTAGGGCAGTGTGCTGAGGGTCAGTCCAATTAGCCATCTTCCTGTTTCCAGGCAGTCTCTTACCTTCACCAGCTTCCTTAGCATGCTCCATGATAGCTTCCTTCAGTTTCTCAGTATAGTTTACAATTCCTTTCAAAGGTACACGTTCGTCATTTTCATAAGCTGTGATATGAATTGAAGGATAATGCTAAAAAGAAAACAGATGTACTCAGTTTATATTACTTGAATTGTATTTTCAAACCATGAAAAATAATTACCTTCAGTTTTTTCCTCTAAGAACAGGTCTCAGCATTAGAGTACCAGACTATTATTACCTATCCTAGGCTTTTCATGTCTAAGGAGACAATGCCTGCATATAATCTAGTAAGGCAAAAGCACTCTATTCTGAGGTGGAAGCAGCTGTGTGGTTCTGAAGATACTTGGTTACCCCGAAGCCCCCAAAATCTCCTGGCTCAGCTCAGGATGGCGCAACATAATCGTTTTTACTACCTGAGCTTTAATATTTTGATAGGGACAATAGCGTTTTATGTAATTCCTATGTTTCTCATCAGATGAAGGATTCCCCCATTCTTCTATTTCTTCTAATGTCAGAGGAAGTGTAGTGTCCATCATAGTGTTGAGAACATCCAGGAAAGGTGCCTAAAAAAGGAAAAAAAAAGCCAAAGAAATTTACATTTATTTCATCTAAGTGATTGGTCAAACTAGTTTTAGATAATTATGTTATTTATCAGTACCAATGTGCAAAAACATAGCTCAAGACATGTAAATCCTCAGGAGATATATCAACTTCAAGTCTTTAAAGAGCTGATGACTTAAAACTGAATTTTACATGTTCGGACTTTTTTTTTTGTCAGTCATGGGGCTTGAGTACTGGGCTTGGGTGCTGTCCCTCAGGTCTTCAGCTCAAGGCTAGAGCTCTACCACTTGAGCCACAATGCCAATTCCGGTTTTGTAGTGCTTTATTGAAGATAAGAGTCTCATGGTCTTTCCTGCCTGGGCTGGCCTTTGAACCACAATCCTCAGATCAGATTACAGGTATGAGCCACTGGTGCCTGATCTACATGTTCAGACTTTTTAAATGACACGTACAGAACAAGAATTTATCTTCTAATTTCACAACTTCTATTTCTAATTTGGTGACATAATTATATCTTTTCTTTTTTTTTTGTCAGTCTTAGGCCTTGAACTCTGGGCCTGGGCACTGTCCCTGAGCTCTTCAGCTGAAGGTGAGTGCTCTACCACTTGAGCCACAGTGCCACTTCCACTTTTCTGGTGGTTAATTTAAGATAAGAGTCTCATGGACTTTCTTGTCTGGGGGGCTTTGAATTGTGAGCCTCAGATCTCAGCCTTCTGAGAAGTGAGGATAACATACATGAGCTATCGGCGTCCAGTTATACTTTTTCTTATATAAAAGTAGTAAATACTACTTTCACACTCATTAGGATGCCTAAACAACAATCAGGAAATATCAAGTGTGGTGACAGCATCAGAGTATAAATTGGTGCAGCCACTGTGGAAAATAACATGGTAGCTCTTAAATAATTAAGCTTTGGTTAACCATATGATCTAATAGTTCTATTTCTGTTATATATCCAAAAGAACTGCAAATGGGGTCTTAAAGAGGTATTTGTATACCTACGTTCATAGCAGCAATATTCATAACTGCCAAAAGGCAGAAGCAGCTCAAATGCCCATTAATAAATGAGCAAGCAAAATGTATATGCATATGATGGAGTACTATTCAGCCTTAAAAAAGAATGAAATTCTGACATATGTTACTATATGGATAAACATAAAGAATATAATCTAAGTAAAATAAGCTAGTGTCAGACAAATTCTGTATGATTTCACTTATAAGTACCTAGAGTAGTCAAATTCACATAGATAACGAAGGGTCATTTCCAAGGGCTGAGGAAGAAGGGGATGGAGAATTGCACAGTATTTCAGTTTTGGAAGATGAAAACTTGAGTCTTAGAGACTAACTGTACAACTGTGAATGTACTCAACACTGAACTGCATATTTACAAAAGGTTAATAGGGTAAGCTTTATGTTAACTCATTGCAAGTAAAAAAATTGGTAAAACTGACAAGTTCCCAACAATATATCAATTCTTTTTCACCAGATGAAAGTTTGTAACAATGTTAATGGTAGAAAATCGATTGGAAAACATGAAAGACACAAAAACTAATCACCCATTGGCTCCTAACCAGTGTTAAAACATTCAATAAAGTAGAGGTGCTTTTTTTTTGCGGGGGGGGGCAGGGAGGTCAGTCCTGGGGCTTGAACTCTGGGCCTGGGCACTGTCGCTCAGGTCTTCAGCTCAAGGCTAGCATTCTATCACTTGAGCCACAGCACCACTTCCAGTTTTCTGAGCCACCGGCGCTGGCTAGAGGTGCTTTTTAAAACAATCTTTTCAGCTTTCTCTCATATAATTAATAACCATTTCTAGTGCATACTTCTACTTCTTTTTTGGCTGCTTAGTATCTAAATTCCTTTTATACATTTGGGAAATCACTGACATTGGGTAGCACCTGTCTCACTGAAGAAAATGTGATGCCAGCAAGGTGTCTTCCTTAGTTTTTCTTGTCCCTCAGAAACATACATATGCTCCAAATGTTGGATGGGAAGATAGTGTTTCAAAGAAGTAATGATCATACAAATGTTATTCAGGTATGAGTGATACTCCATCCAGTTTCTAGAAGGAGCACTGCTAGTGTTGAGAGATGATCTGGGCTCAGCAGTAGCAACTTCCCTGGGCGAGATCCGCTTCTGGCTGCACCACTTCCACTGCTGGCTCTGCATGTACATACAGCTTACCAAATACTCAAATAAAAACACCTCCTTCTTCAACTGGTCAGGTTTTATCATGTTCATAATTAAGAACTTTGACTTGCATATAAATATCCTATTGTATATTTAGGTCCTCTCTGATTCTTCACTATAATAAGCAACAATGGATAAATGTGCTTACAAATATATTTCTGATTATTTGCTTTTACACTTCTAAAAGTCAAAATTAATTGAACTTGGTATTACAAATGATTCTGCTACTGCCATCTTTAACGAGAGGCTTATTTTTCTCATACTTGTATTTCTATTAAAAATAGACATATAGAATTGAGCTATTTAAAACTTATTAGTTTACTACCCCTAGTCCCCCAAAATCGTGAAAATAATTTACTCTGTCCCATGAGTCATTTTTGTTGTTGTTGTTGGGCTTGAACTCAGGGCCTGGGCGTTGTCCCTAAGCTCTTTTTGTTCAAAGATAGGGCTCTACCACTTCAAGCCACAGCTCCACTTTCAGCTTTTTGCTGGTTAAATTGGAAGTAAGAGTTTCATGGACTTTTCTGTTCTGGCTGGCTT